AACAAGAGAGTTAGTTGAGAATTCATCAAGGGGAATAGGACTTAAGCCTATTAAATAAGAGTTACCACAACGGCAACCCAACCTAGTTGACTGGAGATCCCAAGATTTAGGCTCAAAGGGACAACCGAGTTGTGAATGACTCAAAATGATCACTAGGGAGTCCAACTCCTACCCATTTCTATGATGAAATAGTGATGTCTGCAGCGTTTTAGGTTAAGTAATACTTTTAATGATTCTTATATTTAGGTTAACCTAGTGGAGTATGGCAGGATGCTCTTCATAAGAATCACCTATGTGAGTGTGAACTGGGCTGGTTCTATAAGATTTGTGAAGGGCTACAAGTCTTTAGAGCGCTCATAAATGACCAGGTTGTTCAGGGCCAAAATGAACACAATAGTGAGAACTAAACTGTGTCTGGGGATATACTGTGTGAGTTCTATTGTCCTGGTTTACTCAAACGGCTGAACTGTTCAAGACATCATGTTCGCTGGTTAGCTAATAAATCCAATAGTGTCTCACAAGGGAAGGTTCAAAGCCAAAAGCTACCTATCCTTTACAGAATATTTTCAATTTCTGTACTCTCTGTAATTAGATCATGTTGTTGCATTTTCTCTCTTTGAGCAGACACAAAATCCCTTATTATACTAACTATTAGTTTATTTTCAGAAAAAAAAAAAAAAAACTTTGGCCATATTTCATATTTATTTGTGATTCCTATTTTCCTAGTTTGTACATTACTTAACAAGAGAGTTAGTTGAGAATTCATCAAGGGGAATGGGACTAACTCTGGGAATCAATGGAGCTCAAGAACTCAACCTGGGATTCCCAGATTTTCGACGTCCGCTCGAGCGGGTGAAGTGACGCTCGAGCGGAGAAATCGAGCTCCCAGCATTTTCTGCAGACATGGTTCCCGCTCGAGCGGGGAAGTTGACGCTCGAGCGGGGAGCTATGTAGACAGGCAGTCCGCTCGAGCGGCCGAGTTCACGCTCGAGCTGGAATTGAAGGCAACCAGTACTTTTGCAGACCTAAGGGTCCGCTCGAGCGGGGAAGTCCACGCTCGAGCGGGGACCCTATTTTCTGAAATCCTGTTTTTGCATTTTGTGTTCTGTTTTCCGTTCTCTTTCACTTGCAAGCACTCTTAGGCATATGTTAAGCATTGTAAATGGACCAGGTTGTTCAGGGCCAAAATGAACACAATAGTGAGAACTAAACTGTGTCTGGGGATATACTGTGTGAGTTCTATTGTCTTGGTTTACTCAAACGGCTGAACTGTTCAAGACATCATGTTCGCTGGTTAGCTAATAAATCCAATAGTGTCTCACAATGGAAGGTTCAAAGCCAAAAGTTACCTATCCTTTACAGAATATTTTCAATTTCTGTACTCTCTGTAATTAGATCATGTTGTTGCATTTTCTCTCCGTCAAATTCCATTCATGTAGAGAATTGTTGAAAAAATGGTTAATATAGGCATATTTTAGGACGACTCTGAGCCCAAAATTGAGTGGGCCTCTTACGTCTTTTGGGGTAGGTCCGAAGAGGTAAAGTGTTCCTTGTCGCATGGCAAGTCATACGGTGAAGACGGAACGTAAAAACCATTTATGAGTGAATGGGAAGTTGACGTCGTTTTCGGGTCTAACATTAATTTTTTAGATAAAATTCATTTGAATTTTTTCAATAAAAATTATTGTGAGAATTTAATTTAATTCTAAGTTCAAATTTTAGGTTCCTAAGTGGTTTCCTAAAGTTTGTAATTGTGGGAATTTAATTTAATTCTAAATTCAAATTTTTGGGTTCCTAACTGGTTTCCTAAAATTTGTACCTATTACTTTATTTATTAAACTATTCAATTTGTTTAATATATATATATATATGTTTATATATATTCAAATAGTTTAATATATATATATATATATTCCAAATAATTTAATTAATAAAGTTCCAACAGGTTTGAAAAAGTGCACCAACGAACCATCGAATCTTTTTGTTTGAAAATTTGTTCAATGCAACGGACAGATTCAATTTTCAATAAGAACCTGTTCAAAACAGTGTCACATCTGTTCGGCAGTTTATGCACCTGTTGGAATAGATTTTTGGTCACTTTTTGTGCCTATATATAGATTCATTTCCTGCAGTCCAAAGAATCCGAAAAAAAAAGTCTGCATCTTATATACTGCTGTCCAGAATTTTTCTCTTGTGCATTATTCTTCATTTTAGTTTTAGAATAAATATTCAGAGAGTTAGAACACAGGTTCGGTTCGCCGAATAATTTGTTTTGGAGTGCTAATACAAATTGGTTAAGATCATTGTATCTTGGAAGATAGACGCCACTCAATCGTAAGCACCATAGCATGGCGAATCTGTCTTAAAGACAGAGTGTCTCACACTCGACTTAGTCTTTGAATTATTTATTCGGTTCTACAAAATAAATATTGTAAGTTTATTTTATTTTGTTTGAATTGTTTCAATTTATTTTATTTACACAGAAGATTATTCCAACATGCTTCTCATTTAGAAATGTATCGAGTCAATATTTTAAATTAAATAATGTCTCTTTTATATCCAATTAATATCCTTTTGAAATTTACGCACATTTGACAATTAACAAAGCATTGACAAAAATGGTGTATTATGCATACCTCTTGAAAGAGGGTGGAAATGTTGAGACTTGGGCCAGGCATCATTGCCGTGACAAACACAGCCACATAAATTTTCTCGGGAAAATTTTCCATGGCCTGACAAACAGCAAACCCACCAAAGCAATGACCGACAAGGACCACCCTTTCATGTCGAGGAAGAGAAGCCATGAAGGCCTGCAATGGCTTGAACTAATCAGAAACAGATGAGACATCATCAACCTGCTCTGGGTTGATCCCACTTGATGATCGTAGCAGTGGCACAAGCTTGTACCGAGACCATTCCCCGTGGCACGAGCCGTGGATTAGCACAAAGTGTTTGGATGATGTAGGGGGTGATGTCTCTGATACAATTGTTGTTTTTGTAATATGGAGGGGAAAGATGAGGAGAGAAACTAGCACCATTTGATTCTTGTCCATGTTTGTTTCTCTTTCGTTGTAATTCACACAAATGGGTATCAATTTGAATTTATAAGGGTTGAAGGGGGTAGGTTTTTCAGCATGAAGTTGCTAGTTAGCCAGTCATCAAATCTAGTATGTGTGCCCCAAGGCACAAGATCTTCTGTCTTCAAATCTTTTTGTTCCAAAACACTCAAGCATTTTGAGACAAGAAAACAGAGAGATTTTGAATATAGAGGATTCTTGATTACATCCTAACACTCCTAAGATCTTACGATCATGTAGGACCAAATCCTAAATGCAGGGATTCATGTGATTGTGTCACTTTTAAAAGTGTTAGGGAAATGTCTCAATAGTACACAGTAATTTTTTAGCTTGTTGAGATCGGTATAGCAAGTTGACTAAATTGTTAAAATATTACTTGTTGATCCTTTGAATTTTGATTAACAAACTAAAATAATGTAATTGAAAGACATAGACGGCTTTAGGTTAGCACTGGTCTAGAAGGGCAAACAGGCCGATTCTTCCAAGAGGGTGAAGCACACATACTATACATTACCTTTTTTTCAAACTTTTATTCATAAGTGATTTTCTTTTTCAACATTATCTTTTACTTATTTTTGTTATTAGTCAAATTATTTTATTTTTTAAGGTCCATTTAGATTAATGAACCCAAAAATCCAAAAAAATAAAAACTGAAATCGGCACCATGGAGTGATGATACATACTGTGAAAGAGAAAGAAAAGCAACAAGAAAGTTTTGTTTTTATACAAAACAGAGCCAATTCTCCTAGATAGCATCAAAGCAACATCATATGTAAACAAAATCCTCTATTATTGTAGGAAACTAGAAGCTGGACAACTTATTCTTATAATGTTTGTACAAAATATTACATTTCCAGATTTCCTTTAAGATGATCCCTCTTATATCTTGAAATGAGAAATTTGGATGTTCTCAACATCAAGCTTCTTGAAATTACCGCGCTTTCTGGTAGCAAAAAATTTTCCCCAATTGTAAGCCCTGTACTTGGCAGGGTTTTGATCAGTTGTCAGCTCCTCTAGAGCCTCTACCATGACACGATGGTTCGGATTGAAGAAGAATGGGATCGAGAATCTCTCTCTCTCAGAGTTCACCATCACCCTATGCTCCACACTCTCATACTGCTCATTGCTCCATACCTGTATAGTGTTCAACAATTCCAACATATATATAGCAGCAGCAGCACTATATTTTCAGTACTAACTACAATGCTAAACATCTAACACTTAAAAAGCAAGCCATGTCTTCATGTCCGTAATGTACTTTCAAACTGCATGACGTGAGGAAAATCTTGAAATACAAGAATCCCAAAGACTAAGAAGTGCATTGAAATAGGGGGACATGATCTTGTGCCTAGGTCCTTTAAGGTGTGATCAATTTCAGGAACTAAAAATAATTTTAAGAAAAAAGTAACTTTATTCTATTCTATATGCAGTTTATCCACTAATGTTTAAAAATTAGTATATAACTGCCTGTGGTTTGTAGTCTAAAGTGCATCATTTATATTGTTAATAACTTAAACGAAAATACTAAAATACTCTTTTATATACAAGTAACCTTAATATTGTGCAAAGTAAGAGCTCTTTTGTCATCATTTTTAGATGAAAACCATATGCACTAAGTGCGTGTTTTAGACTGATTGTTCACTTTGACGAAGTTTTCAACAGTACACTTTAAGTCCAAAAAACATAAAAGGTTATTTGCTTATTTCTAAATTAAACCTTATTGGAATAAACAGAACATGAAGGAGTCAAATGAAAGACTTCGTGCTATTGTAGCTCTTTAATTGTCTCAATAATTGCTGTGAAATTTGATAGCAAATGGTCATTTGGACAATTGCCTTTCTGTCAGCCTATACCTCTGATAAATTGGGATTTTCAGAGCATGCTTTGCTATTGTTACAAATTTGAACTTTTAGAATGGTATACCTGAACAATGTCACCAACATTCACAATATAAGCATCTGGAGTGGGCTTAACTCGAACCCACTCTCCGTCTGTTTTTCGCTTCACTTCCAGTCCTCCAACATCATCCTGTGCAAGGACAGTCAAGGCACCACCATCCTTGTGTCGACCAACGCCTAGAGCTAGGTGAGGGATTGGGCACGGTGGGTAGTGATTGAGTCGGATAAAGCTGATATGGTCATTGAAGAAGCCGCTCAACCGGTTTTCTGGCAAGCCTAAGCTCAGGGAGATGAGTCCCAACAGCTTGTGTGACAGTCTCTCCATTTCCGTGGCATATTCTTCAAATGATTCCCTGATTAGTACAATTTTTCAGGTCATGTATGTATCTATTTCAATTTCTAAAGAACAATGTTCTATGTCATTATTTTTTTTTACTGTCATTTGGGTGATCATTAGTCTTGATGTATGTATAAAAAAAAGTATGGGCACAGAATTTGTGCACAAAATTGCGAAAATAGAGGTGTGTGGGCACATTTCTGCACAACTAGCACAACTGTTTGTACAAATGACAACTCAATATCTGTACTACTTGAAAAACTAACCATGGTTAAAGTTCATTGAATCTTTTAATAGGTTTAACTTAAACAATTCTTCTACCAACACATAAATCAACCACAAAACCGGACACAACTCACTCACATCTTATTTTGTGATCAATTTCTATGTTTTTAGGATTTTTCTGAATTAAAATTACCTTAACTCAGGAGGATACGCTGGCCACCGGTTAACCAACTCCCTGACCTCCTTATCATCGGGCTCGTGTGACGCCGGAATGACAGTCGGGTTATTGACAGCCAAATCAAACACTTCTTTCCAGTCTCTAACATTCTTAGTCAGCTCAATATCATTGTAACCTTGTGGGTTCATTTCATCTCTCCTCCTAATCTTCCTCTTCTCATCTGCTGACTGTGCGAAGAACTTTCTCGCCGCCGACTCAATCTTCTCACGAGTTTCCAAAGGGACTCCATGGTTGATCACTTGGAAGAACCCCCAGTTCTTGCATGCTTCCCCTATCTCTTCCACTAGATTGACTCTCTATGCATAATCACAAGAGAAAAACTGAGAGTTTTTTGAATTAAGTTTTTTAAAAATTAAATTTTTTGATTTTTGTGTTTTTTTTAGTGAATATTTTTAAAATTTTAAATATTTTTTTTATTTTTTTAAATGTACCTTACTTAGATGTATCTAAAAAGTAAAAAAATTGTAAAAAAATATTTTAAAAAATTAATAAATACATAAAATTATTTTTTTAAAAATGTATTGAATTATCGGTTTTTTTTATATTTTTAGTATTTAATGAATTTTTAAAAAAAAAATTCACAAATTTTTTACTTTTTAGATATATTTATGTTAGGCATGTCTAAAAATTAAAAAAAAAAATTGCTTAAAATATTAAAAAAATTCAGTAAAAATAAAAAAAATACGGAAAAAAAGAAAGTAGAATTTTGTTAAAAGTGTTTTTGAAAAACTCTAACCAAACAAAGTATAGTTTTTATCCATTATTTTCTACACAAAATTTACTTTTATATAAGATTACTGAAATTATATACTAAAATTCAGTTTAAAACAATAAATGAAATACCAAACAAAATCTAAATAAATCAGTTTGCCAACCATATAACATTATTAATCTATTATGTCTTTCTTATCACATAGTTTTGATAGAATGTAAAATTTAATTAACAACTTCAAAAATTTTAAAATTTAAGGCTCTAAGCGACCACCTTACCTGTCTTCCCTCAGCACCGGCCTTGAGAAGTTGTATTAAACTAAGGTTAGAAGACTCATGAGAGTTCAAAATGGAGAGATCAATTAATGGGATGCCTTGAGCTTCGATGGTGGAAAGTTTAGGCCTGTGTTCAGGTGCCTGAATGAAAGCTGGATCTACCTCTCCCATGGCTAAGAAAAATGGTTGTTTTGTAATTATGAAATGAATGCTAGTGGTGACACTCTAATATAATGGGAGAGGTAAAATATACATTGAACCTAGACCTGTTTTTGTTACCTTGTTTGAGATTACTAGTAGGTAGGCTGGTATTGTAAGACTCTTGTTTGGCAGGGTTTGTCATATGCATATTATGTAGCAAATTTTGTTTTCTTCCCTTAATTTAATTTTAGGCCTCCTTTGAAACAAGTTATCTTAGTGATTTTTTGATTTTTTATAAAAAAGTGTATAGAATAGTAAAAAAAGTGATGTGATAATTTATAAATATTTTTTAACTTTTTAACTAACACATATAGTTGTCAAATAAGGCCTTAATAAAACAAAAATAATATAAATCAAGACAAATAAAGAAAAATACTCCTTGGCATTTTCATTTTTACCAATCATTAACCATACATTATACAATAAGTAGCAATGTGTGATGTTAAAATTGCAAGAAATTATAAATTTTGATCTTAACTTAATTTGGACAATCACATGAGACAAGAAATTATAGAGAATTATGCGAAGATATTTTAGAAAAAAAAATAAAAAAATGACAAAGCCCACGCTTCACTGATTTAGATGTAGGCTTTATATAATATAATATAGACATTATAAATGTTGATGTGCAATATTATACCAATCTATATAATTATAGAATTACAAAATACAGTAGTCATCTTTTTACCCCAAAGACTACATATTCACCAATATTCTTAACTCTTTAAAAATTATTAATATTCAAAATATTGACTTTAATAATGACTTATCATACATCAAGATACCTAGATGGATCGTTGATCGAGCGTTTTGGGGATACCTACAGTCTATCCCCATTTGCACCACACCAAAACAAACTCACGTTTCCTGGACTGTACCACGCCAAAACAAACTCACGTTTCCTGGACTGTATAAATAGGGATAGACTGTAGGTATCCCCAAAACGCTCAATCAACGATCCATCCAGGTATCTCGATGTATGATAAGTCATTACTAAAATCAACATTCTGAATATTAATAATTTCCCAAGAGTTAGGAATATTGGTGAATATGTAGCATTTTCCTTTTTTTCAGCAAACTCTAGGGGCAAATGGCTAATCATGTAGTGAGGATGGTCATATCCTGGGCAAGGCCGAGTACGTTGGTGGGTCCAAGATATCGTCTACGCGTGTAGACATGGCTCTGCCTTTACGATAAGTATGCTACATCATTAGGATCGGCGTGTACATATATTGGCCGACCCATCAATTGGGCAAAGCCTGGATGTAGTCACCTAACTATGTCTTCCGAGTCTTCCCATCCTTCTGGCGAGGGGGGGCACGGTGCTTTGCTAAGATGTCCTCCAAATTTATAACTCCGAGTTCCTCCTAAAATGACTCATTAAGATTAAACTCGGATATTCCTACATCACCAGAATTAGTCATAGTACAAACGTGAGATAACGTTGTAAGTAAATATTTATTTCTTTAATTTATTATTTATTTATTTGTTTATGTCTTTATTTTATTTTATTTATCATTTCTAACCATTGATCTGATACCACTTTTGTCACGACCTAACCCAGAAGCTTAGGATTGGAAACACAACTTACTAATTAATTCTAATTTTAACAAATTAAATGGTGCAGGCACAGGCAGAATGGAAGTAAGAAAACAATTAAATAGAAAATTTACTTCATTAATGATTGAATATACATCTGTGGGCCTTTTATTATGTTATTATGCGGTGACAAAATGTTAGAACAAAAAAGAAAGAAAAAAAACAAAATGTAACAAGTCGTCATCAAATTACGTGTGGGTCCCACTATACGAGGTTACAGTTCTTCTTTACATCTAATCACCTAAAAGGGGTAATAGCTATAAGTACAATAGAGTGAGAAATATTATGCCAAGAGTATATGGGAAACAAAATAATCATGGATAGTTATTTAAGCTAAAACATTAATATAACTTAATTTGAATAAACAAATTATTCAAATTGGTAGAAACTAAAATATAGAAATTATAACCATAACCACGGTACAGAACATAATAGAGGTTACTGGAGTGACAGTCAAAACAGAAGTCAATAGATCAATGACAAACAAAGGGTCACAAGGTGACCAATCAGAAGCCAATGGTTTATTTAAGTCCCCTAAGGCATAGGACTCTCGTGGTGACACTTACAGATAATAATTGTTTACAAAATCATTATCAAATAATTATTAAAATTAAAGTAAATATATCCATGGGTTTCAATTTAAGAAAATTAGATTCAGAAAATAATTAACGTAATTAAAATATTAATATAATTTACAAAACACAAGTTACGTAAAATAAATTATAATAACTCAAAACATACATAAAATATATTATAATAACTAAAAATATAATATAACTCACCTAAATATTGACCCTTAACCTTTACTTTCCTAATATCCACTTCCTATTTCTTTGTATATTGCCCTAGTTATAACATTTTTCATCCCACTTAACAACCCACTAACCTCCCTATTTTATAGTTGGTGAAAACTTTTAGTCCCTAATTAAAAGTTAACGCGTGGCAAGTTTAAGACCTAGCCACCTATCCAACATGTGACAAATTTGTTTACTTTCCACCTATTGCTCTAGATTAGGTGACTGACCAAGTCTTTAAAACTATATATGCATATTCATCCATCTATATGTTAGGCTGGAGAACATGTAGGTTTTTTTTTTTTTTTTATCTTCGATTTAATTTTAATTTGACCCAAATTTTAAACTAATTATTTCTTTTTGATAACATATAATCCCTAATTAAATTTTATTTTATCACATAAAATCATAACATTTAATATTTTATTTTACTCTTATGTGATATTTAATTAAGGGTGCTGTTATGGTGTGCAACCCCTTAAGGTTGCACACCATATGCAACCAACACAAAAGGTGTAAGTGGAAGATGTAAACATAAAACAGGACAACAAACAAAAAGGCGTAAGTGTAAGGTGTAAGTTGCACACTTAAGAAAAGTCCTTTAATTAAACATTTAGGGTGTCATATTTCTCTCACCTTTGTCATGACCCAACCCTAGATGCTTAGGGCTAGAATCACAACTTACTAATTAATTCTAATCTTAACAAATTAAATGGCGCAGGCGAAGGCAGAAAGGAGAGAAAATTAGATATAAAAAAGAAAATACATTCTATTGTTAAAGGAGGCCTAAAATTAGAAAATTAGCTATAAAAAAGAAAATTAGAAAATTTAAACAGAAAATTAGCTTCATTAATCATTCTATTGTTAAGAAAATACATCCATGGAGCCTTTATTATTTTGTTATGTGGTGATAGAATTTTAGAAAAAAAAAAGAAATTAAATAAAAAAGAAAAGAAAAACAAGATGTAACAGGTCGGCATCAAGTTCCGTGCTAGTTCCACTATATGGGGTTATAGTTCTTCCTTACACCTCATCACCTGAAAGGGATAACAGTTATTAGCACACAACAAAGGAAGAAATATTATGTCAAGAGTATATAGGATACAAAATAACCATGGATAGTTATTTGAACAAAAAAAATATTTAAAATAACATAATTCGAACAAATAAATTATTATAGTTGCAAAAACTGAAATTCAGAAATCATTTAAATAATTAACCATAATCATGGTACAGAACAGAACAGAACAAAAGTTACTGGAGTGACATTTAGAACAGAGGTCAATGGATCCATAACAAACAGAAGGCCACAAAATGACCAATTAGAAGCCAATGGGTTATTTAAGTCCCCTAAAGCATGGGACTCCCGTAGTGGTCCTTATAAAAAATAATTATTTACAAAATCATTGTCAAATAATTATTAAAAATTAAACAACATATCCATGGGTTTCAATTTAAGCAAATAGAGTTCAAAAAATAATCAACGTAATCGACATATTAATATAATTTATAAAACACAAATTACGTAAAATAAATTATAATAACTCAAAATATATATAAAATATATTATGGTGACTCAAGATATTATATAACTTATTTTAAAATTAATACCTCACTTTTTTTTTCTACTACCAAAAACCTTCTTTATTTCCAGTATTTTCTTCCCATTTCTTTGTTTGCCTCTAACTTGAACATCTCCTCCTTAGGAAGGCAAACCGGGAGCCCTAAGCCATAGCTCATACACGTGGCTTATCCAAATACTTCTCATCATTCCATACTTATCCAACAATGACTCACTACACTTATGCGTGCCTAATTATCATCCTAGGCTACGTGTCACTTACTTCGATTTTTTTTATATTTTATTTTAAAAAAATGTTAGAGGTCCTAAATTTTCTACCAAATAAATGACCAAATGTCTCACATGGCTGTGGAGCCCACAAAATTGCGAACCCCACACCCATGTGAGACATTTGGTCATTTGTTTGGTAGAAAATTTGATATCTCTAACATTACCCTTTATTTTATTATTATTTTTTAATTCTAATGGGCTCAATTCTTAAACTAATTATATATCATTTTTTTTATAATATATAATTCCTAATTAAATTTCGTTTTGTTACATACAAACATAAAATTTAATATTTTATTTTACTCTTATAGAATATTTAATTAGAAAAATGATTGAGCCACGAAACGACGTCGTTTCGTGGTTTAGGGGCATTCGGGGCGGAGGAATTCGGGCCCTGTAGCATTGTTGATTTAATTATATATTTAGGGTGTCACATTTCTTCCCTCCTAAATAGAAGTTTGTCCTCAAACTTGTCGTACTTTAATTTCCGAAAAAGGTGTGAATATTGGGCCCGCATTTGATTCTCTGTTTCCCACGTCACTTCTTCGACTCAATGATTTCTTCACAAGATTTTTACAAGAGGTGTAGTCTTGTTGATTATGAGGATCTGGAAGTTCAAGCAGATCTCTCTTATGAAGAACAATCAGTGCAAATTCTCAATTGTCGTGATTAAGTTCTCCAAAACAAAACTATACCTCTGGTAAAAGTCTTATGGCGGAATCATTGTGTCGAAGAAGCTATGTGGGAAACGGAGAATCAAATGCGA